GCCTTTTTATACTATTTGACTTTTGCTTCTGTTGGTATACTACTTAGTAGAGATTAAAATGTTAATTTTAAAAAGTAAAACAAAAACGTAATGACGAGTACACTGAAAAAGTACCCGTAGCTTAGGGAAACTTACCTAAAAGAACTAACTTCTGCAGAGTCTCAGAATGATCCACATAGTCTCGTAGTGTGAATGAAGATGGGGGCAATGGAGGGGCTGCAGTAATCTGAATAGCCTCTTCCTCCGAAATTGGCTGCATTGGAGACAATGGGGGCAAATCATCCAGTTCTTTGAAAGAGAGAAACAAGTTAGTGCTCTAATATGCACACTTAAAACTATTTCTACAACGACTGCTTCTTGCCTTGATTGCTTCTTTCAGTGGTTAAATCTTGGAATCATTTTAGAATTAAACATCCAAGAAGCCCCCAAATTTTTCACCTTTTAAGAGGTAAGGTTAAAACTATTTAGACAGACTAACTACTGTTACTCCAAGATCAGAAATTGTTGGTAAATTTCAAAGCGCACAACTCCTTTCCTTCATTTAATCAGTAGGTGACAATGCTAAAGATCACCAGACTTTCAAGTGCATTTTGAAACAGAGATTGAATCTACTATAGCCTGTTAACTTGGCCAAAAGTACTCATATGCCAACAGCCTAAATTACATGGGTTAAACTAACCATATCCTCAAAGTCTGTTTTGATCCAATACCCTCCCCTCCAAATACCCTCAAATACATCTTTAAGAGGACTTCTATGATTGTTTCCACAACCTGTAGTCCTCTCTACAGGAGATGTGATTCTCTCTAGTACAGCCCTGATTCTGAGGGTTTGTTTTTTTAAAATCAAACACAGTATGGAAGACATTTAGAACTACACATTACCTTAAGCTAAGGAAGTGGGTCTAGGATCTCTTGTTCCGTTTTTTGCCTCTTATCATTAACTATCCTTTTTCATCAATAATAGCCAGCTTCTTCTCCCTACCATCTCCCCAGCTCTCTTTCCTTCATATTCTACTTAACCTCATATTATTTCATTAGCAGTGAAATATTCCTAGAATGGGATTCACAGGAAGGAGAGGACTAAAAAGCGACATGAGAAAACTTTCTGCAGGAATATAACTGTTTTATTTGTTGATTGCAGTAGTTGTTACACACTAAATGCATATGTCAAAATTCATAGAACTGTATACCCCAAAAGATGAATTTTACTTGATATGATTATACCGTAATAAACCTAATTACTACTTAAAATTTTTTAAGAATCTAAACAATAAAGTATTTAGAAAGCAAATGCTTTATATGTGTAGCTATAAAATAATCTTACACGTTAGCCCACAAACTTCTTTTTCTTAGCCAGTAAAATAAAGGCAGGATAGAAGTCCATCAATAGAACTGGCATTATTTTTTTCTTGCTTGGTACAAAATATTACCTAAAATGGGCTAGTAGACTGTAAACAGGCAGCTCATTTACATGGCCAAAGTAGGGAAAGGGAGAGTTTTCTGAAAGTTCAGAATTACCTTCTAGAAACACCTCAGAATCAAAGCTGGGTATCTTTTGTGTCTTCTCGGATGGTTCATTCACGGAAGGAAGCGGAGTGATTTGGGCAGAATTATTTTCTTGACTACTTGAGCTAGTAGTCTGGGAACTATTCCATAAGGAGGAAGTCTTGTAAGTCTTAAATCCCCACTGGAGAAAGCAATTGTCAGAGGACATCTGAGGCTGAGCAGAAAAGCCATGTAACAATGTTCTCCCTGGTCTAGTAAAATGTTTTGTGAGTTGCGCGGCATTAATGAGGCTCCTCAACTTAACTGAGTTAAACCATCTGGGTATCTGTTGGGCTGACAAAGCCATTTTTCTTAAAGTTGTCTACAAAGGAAAGATACAACTGTCAAGAGAAGAGAAATTTAATTTACTTATGTGTTTAAAACAGTATTCAAACAACAAAATAATAAACTGGAAAATATTTTTTTCTAAATGAAAGGTATTTAAATATATTTAGTCTAAAATAGTAAGACGTTTCTTATGCACAGGAAAAGCCAACAACAAGGCAATCTCAGTTGCAAACCAACAGACAGGAACTTCTGAGCTGGAAAAATAAAGATATACTTTACAATTGTAAAACAAACTGCACAACCACTGGCACTAAGAAAAACGCTTAAAACACAAATCTGAAAATGTTCAAATGACAGGGGCCTCACTAATCTGTCAATTCAATCATTTAAGGAGAATAAGATGATGCAATTCGGTGTGAAGGATATTTCAGCAGCAGACTGCTGATCAAAGTAACAATGAATTACTCAAATGCATTTTATGTATATAAATTAGTCCAAAATGAAAAAACAGAAATCTACTGTGTCCCAAACGAATCATCAAAATATTATCACTGACATATAGAACAGAGAAAGCAGTTTCTTGCTTCATTCTCAGGGCTAAACACTGTTGATTATTTCACAGATAAAGTTGTTCTTCCAAAGGGAATTGAACAAAACCAGTTTTGTTAAGTTTTGCTTCACTGTAGGAAAGGAGAAAAAAGCCTTCAAAAAGGAAAGGTCAAAACTAACAAACAAAACCAAGTGACAGAAATATATAAGCAACCAGCAATGAATAAATGTATATTTTGACTTAAAAAGTAGTTCTTTTCAAAAAGATTTTTTTCTCAAGAAAGGCAAGTGCTATGTTAAATTCCAGGAATATAAAGGGATTTTATATTTAGCCAGCTAATTAAGAAGGTAAATTTGATGCCTATAATCTTATGTTAAATAAGACAATCCGTATAAAACACAGGATGGAGTCAGGATAGAAGAAATGCTCAATAAATGTTAGCCATTATTATTGATTACACAACCAAACACAAATGGATTCTGCTGAATCAACTGCTGCCTGCAACTTTATGCTGTTCTTCTACATAGTGGAATTTCGCTGGTTTTATGCTCTAAATTAGACCAAATAGTCAAGGGTCTAATCTCTTCTTGGAGATTTGTAGTTTGGGGAAGTTTGCTGAAAGAGATTTTACAAAAGTCAAAGTCTCCTTTCATTCTGCAAATATTTTATTATTTTTTTATTTTTGAGATGGAGTCTTGCTTTGTCACCCAGGCTGGAGTTCGGCGGTGCAATCTCGGCTCATTGTAACCACCACCTCCCAGGTTCAAGTGATTCTCCTGCCTCAGCCTCCCAAGTAGCTGGGATTACAGGCACCTGCCACGACGCCCGGCTAATTTCTGTTTTTAGTAGAGACGAGGTTTCGCCATGCTGGCCAGGCTGGCCTCGAACTCCTGACCTCAGGTGATCCACCCACCTCGGCCTCCCAAAGTACTGGGATTACAGGTGTGAGCCACTGCGCTAGGCCCATTCTGGAGTGATTTTTAGAAAATTAAGTATTCACAATAACCTGATGGGACAGGAGGTTTTTGTTAGATTTCGGTAGGAAACGAGCCTCCAAATGTGCCAAGGTTTTCCCTCAAACCTACGACATTCATTCTCTGCACAGTAGTCGTAAGGGCACTAAATGGGAAGCAGAAGATCTCGGTTGTGCTACCTTGACAAGGCTATTTCTGGCAGCCGTCTAACAAAATGTCTAGCTCATGATGTGGGTGTGGGGAGTCAATAACCATTCTTCAAACAATTTTTTTAAAGGCTAAGGGCACAAGATGATTCATAAGGCCCCTATCAGCTCTAACATTTTTGACGTCTAAGCGTTTCATCCTACTTCAAACTCCTGAAATCCCAAATTCACCCTGAAGCCTTTCCACACTCAATACCCCGAAACATCAGGAAGATTCACTTTCAAATTTTATCCAGTCATTAATTGTGCATACAACTGTTTATCCTTGCATTTTTATTTGCAAGTGTACTATCTTCTCCACATCATTTCACTGTTGCCTACACATCTTAACTGATTAATTGTTCATTCTCAAGAGCAGGGCTGGGTCTCATCTTGGGATCCACCCTTCCAGGGACTATTTTCCACTCTCCCAGAGCCCTGCACAGCTCTAATGCTTGCGGAATGGAAAGAAATCCATGGCAAGTAGAGTTAACTCACTTTCTTACACAGTATGCAAAAGCGGGTAAGGCATGTGCAGATGTATATAAAAGCCCTGTGAGGTGGTAACCGTAAGTCTAACACCGTCCTTTCATCAGGAAAATTACAGAAAACCCTTAAAGAAACTCAAGCCTATTAACAATTGATATATACAGCTCATATATATGTATACCTAGTGCTTTGCTAGAAAAAGGCACTGAAATAGTTTTTCGAGGGTTCACGATTTCTACCTACCTATTAAAGGTTATACATGAAATCAGGAAGGAAAGGGAGGTTATGGGCGTAGCTTCCGAATAAAGGGTCTCTCAATACTTCCCTAGGCCATTTTAGCCCATTTCAGTTCCCCAAACCTAACTTCCGCAGGAAGGCAGAGCCCCCTCCAGAAGATTCTCACACAGCGCTAATCAGCAAGCATGGTTGAGTTTTCATTACATCAGCCGGGGAAAAACACAAAACCAAACCAATCACCCATGACTGGGCCGCGAAAATCAAAGGCTCTGGGTCGCGGCCTAGACGCAGGTGCGCCAGGACCTGAACCCCTACCAGGAGCGCCATCCCCGCGCTGGGGCAGCTCCTGCTTTACCTGTGGGGAGGCCTGCGCCCCGTAGCGGGTGCCCCGGGGACTCGCCCGGCCGCGCGCGCTGTCCCGCCAAGCCGCAAGCCCGCTCCGCCGCCCTGCAGGCCCCGCGCAGCCGCGCTCCCCGGCCCACGTGGGCTGCGGCCGGAGTGGGCGAGACTATATGCCGGGCTGCGCGGGGAGATGGCGGGCTGCGTGCGCGAGAAAGAGTCAGCCAGGGGGCCCAGCTGCCCTTCTCCGGCACGACCCTCTCCTGGAGTCCCGTGGACTTGAAGTCTGAAGGCTCCTCGAGTGCATAGAGATGCCTCAGCCGGGACGACAGCGTGGGGACGGTCGGCGGCGCCCCCTGTCCCAGGCCGCGGTGGCGGCGCCGCGACCCCGCCCTCTCGCGCCTGTCCTTTCCTCAGCTCCCAGCCTTTGCTGGGCGCCAGACCCGGCTTCGCAGTCCGGCAGTTCTCCTACTGTGGCTCGTCACCCCCGGGGTCCCGGCCTCCGCGGGCTGGGGCCGCCGCCACCGCGGCAGGACGGGGAAGCGGGCCATGGCGTCCTGCGTGGGGAGCCGGACCCTGAGCAAGGATGATGTGAACTACAAAATGCATTTCCGGATGATCAACGAGCAGCAAGTAGAGGACATCACCATTGACTTCTTCTACCGGCCGCACACCATCACCCTGCTCAGCTTCACCATCGTCAGCCTCATGTACTTCGCCTTTACCAGGTGGGGCGGCCCGGCGGTGCAGGGGGCGCGTCCAAGGGCGAGGGAAGAGGCGGGAGGGAGGGTGGCAGGGAGGATGGCCCGGCATGGCTCCGGGTGAGGAAGCCGGCTGGCTGCTCCACGCGCACGCACTGGCAGCCCGCTGCCCACGCAGCCCCTCCGCCCGCCCGGCGTCTCACAGCACGGTAGCCTGCTCCCCCACCCCTCAATGCTGCTTCTCCATACAGCGCCTCCGGTTACACCGGGAACGCACGCGAGTCACTTAGCACGATCGCCCCCCCCCCCAATCCCCACCCACCACACTCAGCATCGCTCCACACAACATCACGACGCGGGGCCCACCTCTGCACCGCTCCAGCCCCCGTCCCTACCCAGTACACCGCGTGAATCATCTTGTATGCACCACTTTTAGCACACACCGCTACACATACGAAGCACCCCAATCCACAGCGCCTGCACGCACCATACATAGGCCCAGGACACAACCTAGATCGTTTCCTGTGGAACTCCGGTATCCGGCGTGTCCGTAATAAAAATCCACATGTGCGCCACATACACCGTCTTTCCCGTGCAGCACTTCCCGTCTGCATTGCACACAAGTAATCCAGCATAATCCTCCCCCCAGCCTCAAACACTACCATCTGTACCACAGCACAAACTGCCATTCTAAACACACACATCACAGCGGACCTTTCCCTTCCAGCACAGCCCAATACCCATAACCTTCTGTGTACGTAGCTGCACAGACAGCAGCCCACCACATATTACGCAATCTATACCCTGCTCACTCTAACATACATGCTGAAATGTGATCTTGTCCAGCTATTTTAATGGTGCCTAGTATATAGTAACCGCTGTGTGTTAAATGAAACACTTAAACCTCACACAGCATAACACAACTCTCTTACTCCCCTGAAAACATATACATACATTCTAACATATACCTGTTCATAGGAGCTGCCCAGCCCAAATCTTGAACACACCTCATGTAACTCTATGGCACTGCGCCTGTAGCCCCTCATCCCTAACCCAGGGAACTAATTTATCCCTGCTTCGTAAGGGGGTACATACCGGTGGTTCCTACTTAGAAGAATTTGTACTTTCTGAATGAACCTCTTTAAAGAAAGGAAAGTCACACCTCCCTCGCCATTGTGGCTTAAAAGGCCAAGTTAGAGTAGTGTAGTTTTTGAGCCACACTCTTGGTTTCAAAACTGGCTGTGTGTCCTTGGTTAAGTTGCATAACCTTGCTCTGAGCCTCAGAGGCCACACTTGTAAAATGGTGATGAAATATGTACTTATCTCATACGGGGTTATGAAGATTAAATGAATATATGTGAATGCATTTAGCAGAGTCCCTGGTGCACAATGTACAATTCATGTCAGTTACTTCTCTCCCAGTATTTTTATCCAACAATCAAGGTCCTCTGTCAGGGTCAGCAGAAAATGTGTAGGGATATATATATTGGGTAATCACAAGGATTGAGAGAACTTCTAGTATTTGGAAGGAAGAGCAGTTAAAGGATACTAAATGTGTTGTGACATATGTGACAGCTCTGTGCAACATAAATTGCCTCCTACACAGTCGTTTGTGTACACACACAAGTGCGGTTGTGCCTCCCTTGGGAATAACCGCAGTTTTTCGAATCCTCATAAAACTAATATCCTGCCACATCACACTTGTTCCTTACCTCCAAGATTTACTTGACTCTTGGTTCTTGTTATGTAAGTGTTTATCCATTTGAAAGAATCTACCTAAAGATATAAAGCTTAAGTAACAATTACTTACTCTTTAATGATTGAGGGATCTTGCCACTATTACTATAAAATCTGCTAAGATTGTGCAACAGGATAAGACCAGGCCTTTCCACAGTACCTGACCAGACCTATTTCTAGCTTTGGAGAGAAATCAGTCATGTCGCTAACTATGGTTACTTTCAAATACTTTGTTATGTTGCCTGATTTTAAAACTTAATAGCTGTGTGACCACATAATTTTGCTAGGCCTCAGTTTCCTTATCTGTATGTAAAATGAAAATATCAGTATATTAATCTGTCAGGATTATCTGTCATGAGGATTAAATTCATCTTTTTAGATAATCTGTGTTTAGCTCAGTGCATGGCAAGTATTAAGTGCTTAATAAACATTAGTTGTTATTATGATGTGATTTCACTGTATGCTAGTGTTTTCCTTTTTTTTTTTTTTTGAGATGGAGTTTCGCTCTTGTTACCCAGGCTGGAGTGCAATGGCGCGATCTCGGCTCACTGCAACCTCCGCCTCCTGGGTTCAGGCAATTCTCCTGCCTCAGCCTCCTGAGTAGCTGGGATTACAGGCACGTGCCACCATGCCCAGCTAATTTTTTGTATTTTTAGTAGAGACGGGGTTTCACCATGTTGACCAGGATGGTCTCAATCTCTCGACCTCGTGATCCACCCGCCTCGGCCTCCCAAAGTGCTGGGATTACAGGCTTGAGCGCTAGTGTTTTCTAAGTTATATTTGTTATTGAATGAGTATCCTCAGTAATTGGGAAGAAGGATAAAAGCATTAGAGAAATAGACAATAGATAACATAATACCTGTTTCATGTTAGCTTCAGTTTAACTTCATCTTATATGTGGGTTTGAAATAATGAAATTAGTGAGGGAGTTTCTTTGGAAATTAGAAAAATAATTGTAGTATTTTGTTTTAAATAATGAGAAGCAAGAATGAGTCATTTGTTTCAGCCTTTAATATTATTCTAGGTCCTTTCAAAATAGATTTCTCTTTCTGTCTTCTTATATAGAAACTCGCATTCGGCCAGGCACGGTGGCTCATGCCTGTAATCCCAGCACTTTGGGAGGCTGAGGCGGGTGGATCACAAGATCAGGAGATCGAGAACCTCTTGGCCAAGATGGTGAAACTCTGTCTCTACTAAAAATACAAAAATTAGCCAGGCGTGGTCGCCCACACCTGTAGTCTCAGCTACTCAAGAGGCTGAGGCAGGAGAATTGCCTGAACATGGGAGGCGGAGATTGCAGTGAACCGAGATCGTGCCACTGTACTCCAGCCTGGGTGACAAGAGCGAAACTCTGTCTCGAAAAAAAAAAAAAAAAAAAAAGAATAAACAAATAAAAAAAGGAAAGTCATATTTTTCTGAAATTTCCCTTTACGTCATATTGCCAAGGCAGTCAATAAATTGCAGCAGTGGAAGTATTAAAAAATGAATACGAATTTTAACAGCTTGTCCAAAATAATAGAAAAACTATAATCTGAACCTCAGACTATGGCCTCTTCCAAAAACATTAACCATTTTATTTCTTCCACTAATTTCATAAAGACACAGAAATCACATAATGAACTAATTAGTAACAAGTTTCACTTTATATAAAATCATAAGCACCATTAACAGAATTAGTATAAAATCTCACTCATTTTGGGGGCATTACAATAATAGCTCTGTCTTCCTCCGTAAAGACGGAAAGTAATGACTTCTTAAATGAAAATTTATCCTATGCTCTTTTGTAATGATTAACTCCAGTACCCTATACTTATTTCATAAGGATTTTAGTTAGACAATTGTTTGGTGCCATTCTTTCTGTAAAACTTAAAAAATATGTCTTAAGGTTTGTTTTGCCCAGACTAGTTGTCTAAGAGAACAAGGAAGAAAGTATACTTTTGGGATGTCATATAGCCAGTATGTGAGAAACAGTACCTGGGTACTGTCACATGCTTCAGAGACCCAGAAAGAATTTAAGATTACAGAGGATTAGATACCTTGTACTGAAGTCTGAGACAAATTTGGGTTTGTCCAGTAGTTCTTTTGTTAGATGGCGCTTAGGCCAATTCCCTGTTAAACCGTAGTGTTTAAATCTCCTGTCTTTATCATCATCATTAAAAATAAAAGTTAGATACTACCTAATCATTTTCCTATTTGAAAAAGCTTGTTTCTAGCCTGGGCAACATGGTAAAACCCATCTCTAAAAAAGAAAACAAGATAAAAATTAGCTGGGTGTGGTGGCATGCACCTGGAGGCTGAGGTAAGAGGGGCACCTGAGGCCAGGAGGCAGAGGTTGCCGTGAGCTGAGATCACACCACCGTATTCCAGCCTCCCCTGTACTCACTGAACAGAGTAAGACCCTGTCTCAAAAGAAAAGCAATTTGCCACATTTTAGAATAAGTAGGCTGGGCACAATGGCTTACGCCTGTAATCCTAGCACTTTGGGAACCAAAGGTGGGAGGATTGCTTGAGGCCAAGAGTTCAAGACCAACCTGGCTAACACAGCAAGACCCCATCTAAAAGTACTATTAAAAAATAAATAGTACTTTTATAAATAACTACTTACACGTATGTCTTAGAAGTTTGTTCAGCCAAAGTAGGGAAAGGAAAACTTGTCTCAAGCTCAGAGTATAATAATTACCTTTAAGATACCCTCATATTTACTCTGCATTCAGAAGTTGGTAAACTTGGAAATATCGAATGGGTTTAGTTTAAAAAACTCAAGCTTTAGATATAGAGAACACCAAAAGCTATTAATTCACATTCAAAGCAGCCCACCTCTTCTTAAGAGGAACCTGCCATTGACCAGTAGAATCAGCCTTTGTTAGCACCTGTCCAACAAAAATTGTTACTTACCTAGAGGAAATTGCCTTTCTGTGGATTTGTGTACTTAAGTGATCATCAGTTTGTCTATGCTTCATTTCTCCTGGTTTAGAACAAAGGAGACAGACAAGGGCAGAGAAGTGGACAGACCTGATTGATTGATTTGTTAATAATGGTTTTTACTTAATTTCTCTTATTGCCTTTGGAATTCCAGTTCACCGTCATATCATTGGGGCATACTTCTGGCCACCTGTATTGGATTGTTTATGGATATTTGCTAGCCTTCCTTGTTCTTTCCCTCTCGACCACATAAATTCCCATTAGAAAATGTCATTTGATACTGCTGATTCAGTTGTCTTGATCCTGTTTCCTTTATATACATCATGTTCCTTTTCTCCCAGTAACAAAAGGCCTGCCAGCCCTTGTTC